CCCCAAAACCCCAAAACCCCAAAACCCCGCTATTCTTATTACACTAAGCAATTAGGCATTAAATAAATAATAATAAAATCATAGTTTCCATATAAAAATTGCGCCTGATGTGTCACCACTAATCATAGTTTTCGAATCGGGCGATATTTTAATAGATGTGACTGGATAAGAATGACTGTTATTGAGATATATTAGTTTTCCATCTCCAAATCCAAAGACTTTAACTTCTCCGTTATCGTCAGCTACAGCAACTTGCTAGTTATTGAAACTTAAAGATATCTGATTTAAGTCGCCATCATAAGATGCTTGAATTATTCTGTAGGCCTTACTCTGATTCATGTCCCAAAAAGTTATTCTTCGATCTTGCCCACAACTCATTAGCACATGATGCTAATAGTTATAGGCCATGCTTAATATACCTCTTTAGATATTTTCGCTCTCTATTGCATTAGCTGATGATAACACTTTCAACTTTGATAGAGGAATTTTACTCATCAGATCCCAAATAATGATATTCCCATCTAGTGATGCTGAAGCCACTTATTGATCATTCAAGAGCATTGTTATGCAAGTAATTTTCTTGCTATGCTATTTCTAATTCATCAAGAGTTTTTAGACCTATCTACCTATGTGCCAGAGTCTTACTTCTCCATCATTCCCCCCAGATACTATTTTGGTACAGTCAACACTAGTTGCTAGAGATGAGACTTCATTAGTTTTATGAGCATCATTAATTACATACAGAAGTTTTCCTGATTATGGCAGAAAAGCTCTTATTTTTCCATCAGTCCAACCAGTGATAATACTTTTCCCATCACTCATAAATTCCATTGTATTGCACTCATGCTTAATATTTAAATCTGTCTTTGCTAACTCTATCCTAAGTAATTCTTGCTAAGTTTTGACTTTCCACACTCTTATTTCCCCTCCAGCACATGTTGCAAATACTTCAGAAAAACCTCTAAATTTGATTAAGAGTTATAGTTTCTTTACTAAGGAAATACAATTTGTCTGATTGGCAAATAATGAGAGCTCTAGTAAAATTCTTGTCTTGCCAATGAATCCTCTACTCTGATTGTGTATACAATTCCTCCTGTCGTCGAAGTAAATATTGTAAATTAAGTGGTAGCTAAACTGACAACTCCTCCTTGTAATTTACATTCCCTATAAAATACTTATAAGCTATCTCTTACTCTTCAATTTTCATAGTCTTTTTGTTAATTTTAGCTATTGTGCCATCACCTGCTCCTATAAGAATAAAAGATAACTGAGTTGCTAAGATTGAGTTTATTCCGCCAATGAACATTCTGTTGAGAGGACCCATTCTTTTAAAAGTAGCTTTCTCAATAAATATTTCTATTAAGTCACCTGACCTTGTCCCGCAGTAGGCAAAGGTGTCAGTGTTGTCAATTGTGATGCAGTTAACAAATCTCTTGATATGCCCAAGTTAGCAGTCAACTACTGTAAATTTATGTTTATTTGGATCAAAAGTCCAGAACTTAACTGCATTATTATGAGCAGTTATGAACTTGAATGGATTGTTATTGAGAAATTTTATATCTTGGCATGACTCAGAAGCTTAAGTTGAAGCAGACTAAAGACACTCACTTTTGCCTTCCTCCATATTCCATACTACAATCTAGTTCCCATCTATTTTTCCTCCCAGTGATACCAAGTATTGATCGTTGCATGAGAATGAAAGACCTAAAACCATCTGCTTGTGAAACTTGACTCTGTAAAGCATCTCTTTATCATAGAAATTCCACACTATTAAAGCTGCTTAGAATCCCTTGTCGTTCAATTCCTCTCCTGTTGCCAGTAGTTTTCCCGATTATGAAATGGTTATAATGTTTACTTTCCCATCATGACCCTGTAATTAAATGATTAATAAGTAAATGAAATGAAACTTACCTTGAGATACTGATAGGAGTTGTCTACTAGTAGACTTTTAATCACTACTTGAGAGCCAATGGCATAGATGCAAAAATCATTTGAGGGATGAATTTTAAAGCAGTCTTTGAATTAGCCTTTAATACGTTAGAATTCAGAATGTAAAATATTACTCTGGAAGCCTATAGATGCTTGAATATCGAGTTCACTATTTTCCATTAAAATTTATTTCAATTCTATTAGTTTTATTTATTTTTGGAATTGATCTCTAATTATTATTGAAATTTATATCTCATGGGGTTTTGGGGTTTTGGGGTTTTGGGG